GCATGATGATGATTCTACTGTTAATGAAAATTTGGGTTGTATTTAGTTAGAGTTTTTGTGATTCAAGCTGTTGTTAACATTCTTATATATGTCACTTGGTGAATTTAAGCATATAGAAGTGAAAATACAGCATGTGTGTATGGACAGATTTAGTAGCCACAGACAGTTTTTCAAAGTGGTTGTACTGATTTTTTCTTATCAGTAATAAAAGAGAGAGTTCCATTGTTCCACATCATCATCAACACTTGCTTGATGTTAGTTTTTCATGTTAGTCATCATGGTGGCTGTCTAGCAGTATCCCATTGTATGGCCTGAATTTGCATTTTTCTAATATGGAGACTTTTTTGTATATTTATTGGAGGCTTTAGTTTCATCTTTTGTAACAGAGTTATTTGCTTTTAATTCAGTCATCCACTTATCGATTTGTAAAAGACATATTCATATGGTTATGAGTTCTTGTCTGGGTTTATCTATTACAAATATCTCTTCCTAGAATATAGCTAACCCTTTGACTCTCTCGGTTGTATCTTTTGATCAACTGAAATACTAAATTTCAGTGAAGTCCAATTTGTTAACTATTTTAAGGTTAGTGATTTAGCATCTGGATTATCCTATGTTTACAAAGATATTTGCTTATTTACTTCTAGAAACATTTACTGTATTACCTTTCACCTACATTTCATTATTCTTACATTTTCTTTTGTGCTCTATATCTTTTAGTGTTAAAAGCAGTCAGGAAGTTTTTTATTTCAGATACTGCATTTTGTATTTCTAGAATGTCTATTGGATTTTAAATTTTTATATATACTTTAAATCATTGTTCATTTTTAAAAAATGTTTGCTCATCATCCCCCCCCCCAGATTTAGTCCCCATAGAATTTCCTCCCCTATTTACCCATGCACATCACCACAGTCACCTATGCTCCTCCTTCCCTCCTTTCTATCCCTCTTCCTCCACCTTCCCTGCAGGATGTCTCTGGTTTATAATTGTCTGGTTTTGTTTTGTTTTGTATTATTATTATTATTTCCACTGATATCTTATTTGGTTGCCCTATATTCCTCCTATAAGTGAGACCATCCAAAATTTTTCTTTTTCCTTCTGACTTATTTCACTGATCATAATTCTTTCTAGCTCCATCCATGTTGCTATGAATAGCATTAGTTTATCCTTTTTGATTGTTGAGTAGTACTCCATTGCGCATATATACCATATCTTCTTGATCTTCCTTGTGCATATATACCATATCTTCTTGATCTTCCAGGTTTTACAATATAAATAGTGCTATAATAAACATAGGGGTACAGGTATTCTTTTGAATCAATGTTTTTGTAGATCCCAAGAAGTAGAATTGCTGGGTCATATGGTAGCTCCATTTTTACTAGCCTGGAGGACTTCCACACAGCTGGTCCAGTTTGCATTCCCACCAGCAGTGTAGGTGTGTCCCTTTGTCACCACTTTGATATGTGCCATAGAATGTCTATTTGGTTTTATGGATTCCAATTCCATGCTGAAATTTTCCCCTCTTCATTAATTTTATGTCTTTTCCTCTGTTTTCTTAAAATTTTAATTATAATTACTTTGAATTCCACATTTGTTCATTCTAATACATGGACTATCTCCAGTCCTGATTCTACTTCTATAGCTTGTGACTTAACTATCAATTATCTTTTCTAGCTTCTTCATGGTTTTTGGTAATTTTTTAAAAAAGATTTATTTATTTATTCATACAGAACTGGGGTACAGGCCAGAGGCTCAGGGGCGGTGAGAGGCTTCACCAGAGACAGAGCGGGGAGCAGAACAGGCAGATGGACGAAGTACACTGCTGAGGGGAGCAGCGGGTGGGTCAGGAGAGGTCTGCCGCGCCATGTGGTCACCTCCGGGGCAGGCGGGAATCGAACTCATGCAGAAGTGGCTTTAGCTTCTTTGTGCTGTGCTTTAACCTGCTGCGCCACCAGGGAGGGCCAGTTTTTGGTAATTTTTATTGAAAATTGGATTTTTAAGGATAATACATTGTAGAGGTTCTGAATTATGTGGTTTTTTAAAATATTGTTCATTTTTGTTCTAGTAGCCAATTAAATTGCTCACAGAAGCCTAAGCCCAGAGCTTCTCAAACACAGAACTATTGACATTTTAAGTCAGATGAATGTATATTGGGGGCTTCAGGGCAGAGAGGGGTCTCCTGCGCATTGTGAAATGTTCAGCCATGTCCTTGACCCCTACCCACTAGATACCAGTGGCATCACACGCCAAGTGGTGACAACCACATCTGTTTTTAACATGTTGTCAACAATCCCCTAGGGAGAAAAATTACCCCCAGGTGAAAACTACTGCCTTAATCTTGTTGAGAGTGGGCTTTAGACTTTTGTGAGCGCAGGTCACTTTCAATTTCGTACATACTCCTAGGATGACATGGTCCTTCATGGCTAGAATGTGGATTTTCTAAAGTTCTATTGAAAGCCCAGAGTGCTCACCAATGTGTCTAGTCCAACTGCAGGCCATCATCTCCCCAGCGCTATGCAGCCTCTGAAATCTCTGCTCCATGATACAGCCTTCTAGAATAGTTCTCTGCTCGGCCTCTAGAGTCCCATCTGCTCCTATGCAGTTTAGCAGTTAGCCACAGAGCTGAGGGGAATTTTCTCAGGCTCCTTTTCTGTGCCTTTCTCATTTACAAGACCCTGTCCTCAAATGTCAGCAATTCTGGCTGTCCTCCCCTCCCCCCACCTATGCTTCCTCTACCTAGCAAGACCCTGAACTGCAGCTTGGAAAATGGTCTTAGGGGGGAAAAGGGAGTGTGAATAAGGAACTCAGCATGCTCATCCTTCTTCCAAGGATATTGCCCTATGCAGTTGAATGCCTGCAAATAGTTGTATATATTTTGTCCAGCTTTTAGCGCTATTTACAGCAGAATGGTTAAGTCTGATACCAGTTACTCTGTTATTATCAGAACTAGAAATCCCAGAACGATCTACTCCCCAGGAGGGGAAAGAAAAAAACTGATGCTATTGCAGGCATATATCCAAATCTCAAATATAGCCTTTAAAGCTATCTTTCTTGATTTTAAAAAAAAATCTCAGCTTATTTAAAGGGCTTTGGCATTTGGGATACTATTGCAAGGTTGAGTGTGAAGAACACATGTGGTTCTCAGCACAGCACATCTGGAAGAAACTGAGACCTTACACTTGACCAAGATAAAGCCAGGCATGCAAGCCAGAGGAGAATCAGACTTAAATAACCCACAGAAGAGTAGAAAGTGTTTTCTATAGAGTACATACCCTTGGTTTGCTGTCTATGTTTTTGGTAGGGGGTGGCTTGGGGAACAAACATGCATCCGTGACAGATTCAGTTCCTCTGCTGCAAAATGGGGTTGAGTACAGCACCTGCCTCAGGGGTGCCTCCAAAGAGGAAGTCAGCTGCCATGTGTGAAACACCAGCCCACTGCCTGGGATGTGGCTGCGTGTTCTCCATTCTTCTAAAAACCCTCCCAAAGCAGGGAGCACACGTGGACTCTGAAGCAGAAAAATGGGCATTCCCTCCATTTTCTCTCCTTCAGCTGTGTGCCTGTGCTCTCAGTCTTCTGGGGTGGTTGCGGGGGGGCAGGGGCTGACGCTGCCAGGCAACTGCAGCAATACCCATCATGCCTACTCACTTCAGAATCCCGAGCAGCTTCCCGACCCTCCCTGAATCCCCCCATCTCTCTGAGGATTCCAGGAGCTCACCCGGTGCCCTGACTGTGGCAGTCTAACAAACACCCATACTATTCTCTGCCTGTCTGTGCTGGTCCACAGGAGGAATATACTCTGGCCCAGCCACAGCCCATCTGTGGCCCTGTGGCAGCTCAACTCAGGAAACTGCAATCCATCAGGATGTCTGGGCAGCCTACTCTGCGGGCCCATGCCCTCTCTAACCCCAATGGCTCCAGAGGGCCTTCCACCCTGCTGGCGGCCCCTAGGGGTACCAGGACTCTCGGCCGCTTGGCTGTTCCCTGCTAGGTGTCAAGGCTCTGGAGACTGCTAGCCACCTACCCCAGTGCCTCACTCAGCCAGAAGCCCGGCTAGGCCGCCAACCAGCAAGTGCGCCCCACTGTCACTCTGCCCTGGCACTTGAGGCCTGGCTCTGTGATCTTCAAAGGTGGCCTCTGGAAATTGCAGGACCTGCTTCCTGGCAGGGCCCCTCTGACTACCATCGTCCACCGCGTTTATTCTCTGTGCTGCTAATTTACACTTTTCTCATTTAATCAGTGCAGAGAGCATTGAGTCCTTTCTGCTCACTAGTCCCTGCTTTAGTACTTTACAGCCATTAACTGAGTTGATTCCATGAACAGCTTATGGTGCTAATTCTCACTTCAGATGAGAATTGGACGTACAGAAGTTCAGAGTAGCTTGTGGGTGGTAGTTGTGGAGGCCACAGAGGGACCCAGGACCCTGCTCTTAACTGTTTGTTTTCTTCTACTAGTAGGTTCATTGTCTTTGTTCAGTGAAGAGAAAGGTGTTGGGAAGGCCTAGACAGTAATGGAAAATAAGTTTAGATCTCTATCTTCCTAAGAACAAAGCAATATGTAATAAATATGTTCACGTGTAGCGCTATCACTGGTTAAGTGCTGGAAGGAATCAAAAAGGCCAGTTGTAGGGGGGCCAGTTCCATCCATTGTGTGTGAGATTAGCTCTTTGTGGAAGGGCTGAGCAGTGGTAGTGGTGCGGATGCAGGTCTTCAAGGCTTCTAGTGCCTGCTGAGTGTAAGCTAGCTGCTCACTGCCCACTGCCCACTTAGCCTAATTCCCTCAACCACTGTCTCCTCTGCTCTGCCCCAGGGGTTGCCCCCTCCAAAGTCCACCATGGTGTCACTAGTCTTCTGAGGCTCCCTCTTCTCCTCCTGCCCTTTCCTCTAGCAGCGCTCAGCCGGCACCCCGTCATCCCCTTCCCATTTAGGGTTCCTTCCCCAGAGCCCACTTGGCTCTGGAACCCAAGTCTCCCCCACTAACTCCCTTTCCTGTGTCCCACAGGGCCTGCCAAGTCCCCTCCTGCGTTGCCCGTCACAGAGACTCCTTGACCGTGTGGTCCGGCGCTATGCTGAGGTGGCCGATGCTGGCAGCATCTTCATGGACCACTTCACAGACCGTGACAAACTGCGTCTGCTCTACACGCTGGCCGTCAATGCGCATCCCATCCTCCTACAGGTACATCAACCCCCAGTGAGCCCTATGAGGGACGTTCACACAGGACTCAGAGGAGGCCAACTCCTGGACTCAGCTCTCTCATGCCTTGTCATTTGGTAAATGTGAGTTGGTTCCTGCAGTGGGTAAGTGCATGCTTGCTGCAGAAGAAAGACATTTAGGAGCTCAAGAAGGACATGGGGAGTGGGCAAAAGCCATCTGTAGTGCCCCAGGCAGCCCTGAAGGGCTTTGTGAAGGAGGACACTGTTCGCCTCTGCCTCCAAGGTCAGTAAGACTGAAGCAAGCTCAGGAGGTTCTGGAAAGCCAAGGAGTGGGCTACCTGGAGCTGGGCATTGCAGCTACGCCTCGAAGGAGCAAAGTGGAATTAATGGAAATGTTCATCCATGGAGGCGTGGCCAAAGAAATGACGGTGCACTAGAACCTGGGGCTACCCTGGTCGACATGCCAGACATCGTGGGCCCTGCCTTCATGCAGCTTCCAGTCTAGCAGTAGGCACACTTAACAAGTCAACAAACTTCCATAGAAATGTGGAGCCCAATTATACCCATCCACCCTAAACCCAGAGACTCAGGATCCTCAAATGATGAGCACAAAAGCAACAAAGAAGTGGGAGGAAGAGCAGAAAAGGGAAATGACTGGGGAGAGGAGATGGGAGGAGAAGGAGGAGCGGAGAAGGGAGTGAGAGTAAGAGGAGGCGAAAGGGGGAAGGAGAAGGAGAAAGTGAAAGTGCAGATAGAGGAGGAAGACACCACACGAAGATAGTTAATATCATTCTAATTGTATAAAAATAATTATTTATGTGGTTGCATATACTATATAATCATATATATAATCAATAACAAAATTAGTCATAGTAAATGGGCATTCACTTCTCCTCTTCTTCCATTTCTTTCTTTTCTCCTTTCCTTCCTCCTCATACCTCTATCCCTCCTTTCTGCTCTTTCTTTTCACTTCCTAGTTTTTTTGGACCAATCATATGTAAATTAATAGATATGTGATTATATACAAACTATATAATAATTAGACACTATTGACCACAGGCGTGATGGCTAAATTCATAACAACGCTCATTTCTTGAACACCTGCTATGTGCCAGGCATGGTATTGAATGCTTTCCATCATGGTCACATTTAATACTCATGACAACTCAACAAATGCTCAAGATATCCTTACTGACCCCTTTTCCAGATGCTGGTGTTGGGAGACAAAACCCAAACCCAACACTGCCTGACTAGAGGGTCTGCTTGCTTTCTGCTATAACGCATGTGGTAACACTGGCATTTTAAATGGTGGGCAAGTGAGCAAGAAAGGGTTCTTTGGAATGCGATAGGTGGGTATCAATGGGCAGAAATCCAGGGAAAATCACCAGGAGGGGGTGACTTCACTTATTTAAGAAGATAATAAGAAAAAAAAGGACTCAGTATTTTTGTCATGTATCCCATAGTTTAGAGACACCCTTCTAAACATAGCTGCTTCAATAAATAGTCAAGGAAAGACTGGCCAGGGTTCCCTCCTCCCTTATTGCATCTAACAGATCCACAACTTTGGAGTTCTTACAAGGAGACAGCAAAGACCCGCATAGCTGTCAGCTTCCCTGGAAGCGTTAGTGGGAGGGCCTGTGAGTGCGTGGTTAGCCCAGCCAGGCACGTAGTTAGCCCAGGGTCAGGCAGACAGACTTCAGAACAGGGCACTGGTTCCAGAAGCTTGAGCTCCCAAGGGCCCCCTTCACGGTTTTCGCCCTGTCCCAGGAAGTGGTATCAGCACTTTCATTTTTAAAAATCCTTTTCATTGAATCCACCTAAACTTGACCATCTTATTCTTTCCCCATGCCCTCTTCCTAAGCAGTGATACCTGTGAAATCTCAAATGCTAGCCATATTTTTTCAACTATACAATTCTTAACATCAACATATATTCCTGATTTCTGATTACCATGTAAAATCCCGCCAGTTCATTGGCAAGTATCCTCAGTGTGAGAAATGTCACTGAAATGCAATTCACTCTATGAAATCTAGTCTTTTCTAAATGACTCTACCAATGGTGGAATCAAAAAGGGGGCAGGCACTCTTCTTCCAAAAGATGTAAGAAAATGTTGAGGAACACTTAAGGCTGGTCTTTCTGGCCTTTCGTCACCTCATGGTGCCAGGCAAAGACAGAGCTGCCCCTGGGAGTTTTTTTCTGGAATCCTCTAATGCGTCCTCCTTCTGGCTTGGCAGATCTTCCCTGGCGCTGAGGGATGGCCCCTGCCCAAGTACCTGGGCTCCTGTGGTAGGTTCCTGGTCAGCATCGGCACCAGCCCGCTGCAGGAGTTCTATGGTGCACCCCCAGACCAGGCAGCTGACCTGGCCTACCAGCTCCTTGGCGTGCTGGAGTCCCTGAGGAGCAACGACTTGAACTACTTTTTCTACTTCACCCACGTGGATGCAGGCATGTTTGGCATCTTTAACAACGGGCATCTGTTCATCCGAGATGCCAGCGCACTGGGTGTCATCGACAAGCAGGAAGGTACCCAGCATGGGCCTGACGGAGCAGCTGTCAGAGAGGAAGTCAGCATGGCAGGAGCTAGGAAGGGGTAACAGGGGAGCAGACCATCGGGCCTTTCCAGTCTCTGTCACAGTGAGAACAGCCCAGGCTCAGGCGATATCGGGTGGCATGTCACCATGTCCCCGTCCCCATTCTGAGACTCTGATCCAATGCCATCTCCCAAGGAGCATGGCGTGCGGTCTTGACCGTGGTGAGCAGGAGGATTCTACATGGTGGCGTGGCCTCTACAGCGTACCCCAAGACACTGCTGTCCAGTTCAGTCTGGTGGCCCAGGGACCCACCCCCCCTTCTCACCACACCACTCTGGAGCCCATCACCCCTCAGAGCCTCTCTCACCAGATGCTTGTAGCTTTTATCTGAAACTGAAATATCTGGATGATTCACTGGTATACTTTACGATCCATTTTGGCACCTCCGCTTTTTTTTTTATAAAGTTTCAAATTTAAAAGCCTGGCACTGAGTGAGGTGTCTACATGAAGCATGTTGCCGAGTGCACAGGCACAGACAGAGTTCTGGAATCCTTTGAACATCCCAAGCTCTCAGGGTGATCACATTTTCTGGTCCCCGTAATAGGACAAAAGATTTTCTTCTCCAATGTCTGATATTGTTGATGTAAGAAAATCTACAAAGATAGGCCAATTAAAACAACTTATGTTCTGATTTTCTTTTTTAAAAAAAAATTATTTATTTATGCATACAGAACTGGGGTACAGGCTAGAGGTGTAGGGGCAGTGAGAGGATTCACCAGAGACAGAGTGGGGAGCAGAACAGGCCGACTGATGATGTACACTGCTGAGGGTAGCAGCGGGCGGGTCAGGAGAGGTCTGCTGTGCCATGTGGTCACCTCCGGGGCGGGGGATCGAACTCATGCTGAAGTGGCTTTAGCTTCTTAGTGCTGTGCTTCAACCTTCTGTGCCAACAGGGAAGGCCCCTGATTTGCTTTTATGAAAAAGAATCGAATTAGAGAAAGTGAGAATGACCCGGAATATTCAGAAGATGTAAACTACTAAGTGGTCAGGTGGTCCTGCCACAGCTGTGAGGGAGTGCATCTTCCATATTACTGGCTCTTTCTCCTGGCTTTCTGTTTTAAAAAGGCAAATGAAACTGGCCCTAGTCATTTCCTGAGTCCCCCCAGTTCAGTGATAATAGTGGGAGAAGTGCAATATGGATGAGAGCCCTACAGATAGGAGCCCACCTTCTTAGAGGGATACATGGGCTTTCCACATCTAGATCTCAGTCTGCCATCGTAGAGCAGGCCCCTGTTGGTCTCATCGGAGGCCACAATGTCCTGGTAACGCGAGGCGGCAGGAGCCTAAAACGCTTCTCCCAATCTTTGTAATTAGCAATGCTTACCCCCACCGCCCCGGGAGAACAGGTTGCATGTGTGTAACATTTCCCGTTTCTCTTCTAGGCAGCCTAGCAGCCGCCAGGGGAGGAGAGAATAAAGACATCTTCAGCTGCCTGGTTTCTGACTGTCAGGCCAAGCTGCCCTCCTGTGACACCATCCCTGAGAAACAGAGCCTGGTGCTGGTGTGTCGTCAGGTGCTGCCTCAACTTCTCCAGGGGAAGTTTCCATCCCTGGTGCAGGAGGAGATTGATGCCACGCTCACTCAGTGTGGAGAAGGCACCCGCCCTGACCCCGAAGTCCTCGGGGCTGCCAGCCGACTGAAGGACATCTTGAGGCCCCTGAGAACCTGTGACCCCAGATTTGCCTACCGCTACCCAGACTGCAAATATAATGATAAGTTTTGAGGGTGCTGGAGTTTAGCTGGCCTCCAGGGACAACATCCTTGGCCCTCCTCTTCTGAGTCAAGTTGCTGCAACATTGAAAGAAGCATCTGTATTTTAGACATTTATTCATTCCTAGGGACTGAGGAGCACTCCTGTTCCAACATGCAGCCATGCCAATTGCACCCCCCCCCCCGACACACTGGGACTTCATGGAAGATCCCCGGGGCATGCTTGGCAAACCTGAGTGGGAACACTCACTCGACCTCTATCAGAGTTGGGGTCCTCTGTCCTCCACTAGATTCTCAAGTCAGTTTAAAAGACAGAGACCTGAAGGACTTCCTACTTCCAGTCTACAAAGTGTGTCCTCAAAGCAGGCCCAGTCAGGGTAACGAGCAGAGCCATGGGGGTGGGGGCGGGTGCAGAAAGAAGGCAATAAGGTGAGGACCGTACCAGACTCTGCCAAGAAAGACCCCCTTTCTGCTCTCTGTGCCCCTGAACAAGCCCTCCTCACAGGGTGAGGAGATGGTAGGCTATAGGCACACCCGGACAGGGCTACATCAGGTGTGTGCACGATTTATCTCCTGCTGTGGGAAGGAGCCAGGATGAGAAGAGAAGAGTGAGCTTAGGGGCCCAATGTGTCCGACCAGTCCTCAGAGGGCAGCTGGCAAGACAGGAATGGGCCAGGGCTGTAGTAGAGACAATGCCCATGTCAAGCAAAGGAGGAGGGAGCCAGAGCCAGTGGGTTTTATGGCCAGTCTGAGCCCTAGTGAAAATGCAGAGGGCAGGTTGGGCAGGCGCCTCTTAGACAAAGGCAGGGTGGGCAGGGCAGTCAGGGAGTCGTTTGTGGCAAAGCCAGCCTCAGTCGAGCCCCAAGTCACCCAAGAATGGGTGGCCCATGTGTCCCCGACACACTTGGTCACTGGTAGGGAACAACCCGTGGGCCAACGCAAAGACTGATTCCAAAGCTAGCGCAGCACAGGGTGCCTAGAGCAGCAGGGTTGTCGGGAACTAAGAATTCACATCAGAACCACAGCCAGGACCTGCACCAGCTCTGTCCACATGGAGGGCTGCAGTGCTGGATTCTCGAAATGGCCTGAGAAATTTCCTACAACCTTGGCTTTACAGGACATTATAAAATTGTGTCTTGCGGTCACCAAACAGTACATATTTTGTTCACAGTTTGCTGGGCTTTTTTTTTTTTTAAGATTTATATATTTGTGCATACAGAACTGGGGTACACACTCGGGTGGCGAAAGACTTCACCAGAGACAGAGTGGGGAGCAGAACAGGCAGATCGATGAAGTACACTGCTGAGCGGAGCAGCGGAGCAGCGGGCGGGCCAGGAGAGGTCTGCCGCACCATGTGGTCACCTCCGGGGCAGGCGGGGATTGAACTCATGAGGAAGTGGCTTTAGCTTCTTAGTGCTGTGCTTTAACCCGCTGCGCCACCAGGGAGGGCCCACAGTTTGCTGTTTTAAAAGATTTATCCAGGTGGTATGTGAGCCTCCTTGTACCATTCTTGTTTTGGCCCCTCAAACATTAGCAGGGGCCTTGTCACCCAGAATTCTTGCCAGTCTTCTAGCCTCAGTTGGCCTCGTTTTCTACCTCTGAATCACCACCATGAAGGTAATAATGCCTGGCCTAGCAGAGGCCCACAGGGAGGAGTGATTCGCTGGGATACGTCCCAAACTCCTGCTACTGGCCTTCCCTGCTTAGCCTCTCACTCACCCTGTACTAATCAATTCTCGTCATTTCACTCCCATTTAAACATGGACCAGAAAAGTCCATGTTTGTAGTGTACTTGGTTGCCTTTGGGGTTTTCTTTTTGACTACTCCAGGCACTATCTCCCAGGCAACCATGACATAAAGATAAGAGACCAAGCTTCTGGAAAGGCAAGATTGAAGTGCCCTGAAAATCTTTTGAGACAGTGTTCTGGCCTGTTCAGGAAGACAATGGTTCCCATCACCTTGATTTCAACCCAGAGAAACTCATCTTAGACTTCTGACCTGGAGAACCATGAGAAATAAAGTCACCCACTTTGTAATAATTTGTTATAGCAGCCACAGGAAACTAATACACATAGAACCCAACTTGCGACACTCCCCAACTCTATTGTAATGTCAAGAGCAAGACCCAAGAGGAGGGAGAATAAGCATCCGCAGATAGGGCTTAGGCCTGCATGGTTCCATCCCTCCACTTACTAAGTCCCATGTATCAGTTTTGAGCCTAAGTTCAACCCTGACATAGAGCTCTTCTTGACAGCCCCGCTGCCAGCAAGCCCCTCTGAAACCCATCTCCTCACCACTTTGAAGCTTCCCAAAGTTACCCATATAGATAATGCCCCAACTTCTCTTGCCGCTGGGAGTTCCTGAGGGTGGTCTTTCTTGTTCCCTACCAGGACTGGGCACAGAGAAAAGTGCTCAGAAGATATTCTTGCTTTGGATAATGACTGTTCTTCAGCTCTTTATGCTGTGCTATAGATTGAACATTTGTGTCTCCTAAAAACCCATATGTTGAGATCCTAACACTCAAGGTGGTGGTACTATGAGTAGAGACTTTAGGAGGTGATTGAAACATGAGGATGGAGCAATATAGATGGAATTAGAGTTTTAAAGGAAAGACCCCTCAGAACTCACGCCCTTTATACATCGCAAGAGGACACAGTGCTAAGGTGCCAGGAAGTGGGCTTCCACCTGACTCCGAATCTGATGATGTCTTGATTTGGTCTTCCCAGTTTCTCGAGCTGTGAGGAATAAATGTCTGTCCTCTGTAAGCCACCCAATATGTGGTATCTTGTTGCATCAGGCCTGGATAGCCTGGACTGGTTGCTGACCATGCACAGGCCAGAGCCACTTCCTCATGACCAGCTCTTTTCCCTCAATATCCTGGAGGCAGGTGAGTCAACACTCAAGTGACCTCAAACAGAACAAAATCATTGGGGTATATTCTCAATGCCATGAAATCTTTTTGGAGATGGTATTCTTCTTAGTCTCTGCAGCCTGTCATTTTTGCCTGTACAGACAGTTATATAATTTGTGCAAAACGACCCAGTGCAAAATGAAAATGGGGGGACTTGTTTATTGTGGATTGCTAGACAGGGGCAATAGAATATTAAACTAAGCACAGGCCCCAGGCAATGTAGGCCAAGCTTTCACTGGATGCCTAAGAATTCTAAATCTCATTAAACTTGGCGTCGTGTCCTTATGGTTTAGTGAGGTCTCATTGCATCAAGTGGAGTAGGTACGAGAGTAAGGGTGGTATAGAGAATATTTAGCAATGCTGTGCCAAAAAACTGACCTATGAGACCAGACTCCACCAACCACAGCTATGTAGTGGTCATAATAATAGCTCTGCACTCGTCCTACTTTTCATGTGAGGGAGTTGGTTTAAGTGATTTTCTGAAAGTAACAATTTTTAGATCTCCTGCTTTTCCAGTCATCCCCTGTGGTGTCTAACTTCTGCTTTTACATGATTCTATGAGTCTGAACCTATAATTCTATTAGCCTCTAGAGTTAAATACCTTGTTGGATTTGTGTTCTTTCTGAGAAAGAACTATAACTCTGGAGGCAGACAGATGTGGTTTCAAATCATGGCTACTGGTTACTGTGCAATCTTGCAAAAGTTTCTTAACTTCTCTGAGCCTCTCTTTCCTCATTAATAAAATGAAGAAGAAAAGAATTTATCCTTGCAAAGTTATTATCATATTTAAATAATGCAAAGTCTCTCAAGAAACTAGTTTTCTATACTTGAAGGCAAATATACAAAAAGAACAGTCTCCTGGAAGAAAGGGCTCCTTGTTAAGCCAAGGTGAGCACTGCAGATTTGGGGGTGATACCGTGATCTCTACCCCAAAGCTTGATTCCAGCCCAGGGGAGCCTCCAGGTGGCCACAGGCCTCTAGGATAGTCTAACTGGGCTGTTTACCTTGCCTTCTACTATTCAGGCTCAGGGTTAATCATGAATAGGAGCTGGGCCACCACTAATCTGGCCTTCCACCAAGCTCAGATAGTAGGTCATTTTCAGAGCATAGGAAAGTCCACTCACACTCAGTATGTAAAGAGAGATGAGGAAGCCATCTTGGAACACTGTAAAGTCCAGGCCTGTTTATGTTATAGTGACTTCCTTGCCTACGTCAGGCCTGTCGCCTTCCTATATTGACACATGCATGCAAGGGTATTGGTCTGTCTGTAGCTCTTCATGGTATTGTTTAAGAAGTGTTGCAATTATGGACTATGCAGGAGGGTCAACACCTTTGCAGGGGACCCCAAATTGAAAATACCATGACCCTCTAAGAAGGTAACTTAGAGTGAACCAGCAACCTGTTCAAGTGGCCTGCCCATTAGAGCTGCCTGTAGAAGCAAATAAAGACACAGAGCTCTTCTGTCCCACTAAGGTGAGCAGGGTCTAATCTGGGGCCTGGGCTATGACTATAGAGGCAGCGTGGTTGCTAAGAGAGAGAGCAGCAGCTCTGGAAACTCACACATCTGCCCTCAGATCCTGTGCCAGTTCCTCTCGAAAAAGGCAGTGCATTAAAGTTATTCATTGCAGATTTGTTTGTAATTGCAAATGTTGGGAACAATCAAATGCTCACACCTGGGGGAAGTGGTTGACTGAACTGTGGTATGTCCAAACACAATGGAATGCTATGCAGCTCTACAAATGAATGAGAACTCTCTGAAGGGGGATGATATGCTGTGTATGGCCGTATCATCCCATAGGGAAGAAAAAAATGGGTGTGGGGAAAAAGCCCAGCACACGCGGTGATGACTGTAGTGATCACCCCTGTGTAAATTCCATGGAGAAGCTTTATTTCATAGTTTTTCAAGGGATTTAAGCCCAGGTAACAGTCACCAGAAAATGCTGATAAACCCCCTTTCCAGATTTCAGGCTTCCATTTATAAACATTTATTCAAAACACATTACCTGAGAAAAGGGTACATTAATTAGTCTACAATGCAAGCATCTGGTTATTTTCTAACATTGGTTGAAGAATATATACCTTAAGAAATTCATTAACTTTGTGGCCAGGTGTCATTTATGTGTGAGAAGTATGGATGGCCAAGACAACGAGATATATTTTAACTGAATGATAAACATATTTTAGTCAAAACTTGTGTAAAGTAGCTAAACATGTTTATAAGGAAATTTATCCTGTTAGAAGCATATGAGGATCTAACATCTATCTTCAAAAATTAGGTAAACATCACCATCAACATCAACAAGAAAATATACCTTAGAAAGTAAACAGGGAAACTGAATAGTAAAGATAAGAGCAGAAATTGGTAAAAGAGAATCCAGACAAAGTAGGAGGCCTCAGCAAAGTCCAGATTGGTTTATTGAAAAGACTAATAAAATTAATAATGCCCTAATTTTAAATAAGGTGTAAATAAGCAATGTTAGGAATGAAAAAAAAGACATATACTTCAGAGCCACAGACAAGGGGAAAAGATGTTATGAAAAACTTTCTAATAAACTTCTTGAAAGTTTAAATAGAATGAACAATTCTTACAAAAATGAAACTTTTCAAAACAGATATAAGATTAAAAATTCTAATAGTCCTTTAATTATTGAAAATTTGGATTTAAAAGTAAAAAATATTTCAACAAAGAAGTTAATGTGATTTCTTTTTATCTTAATGAATATCTTTCTAGACGTATTGGGTCAAGCTGTGTCTGGTAATACACTTACATCTTCACATTTTATGGCTGTTTTTCATTCTGGTTGTAACATGCTACCACAGTGGTAGACTCCGATAAGTTGAGATTTTCTGATCACAAGGCATCTTCATAGCTAACAGCTGTGTTGAGTTGATGATTGACTTCTGAAACATTTCCAGTGCCCAAAGAGCTTTGATTTCCTGCTTATTTCTATTCCCAGAGAGGTAGTTTCATTCTTTTGCATGTGGCTGTTCAGTTTTCTCAACATCATTTGTTGAAGGGAGTTTCTGTTCTCCATTGCATGTTCTTGGCTCCTTTGTTGCAAATTAACCGTCCACTGTTATTTCTAGGTTTGCAATTCTATTCCATTTATCTGTATGTCTATTTTATTCCCGAACCATACGGTTTTGATTTCTGTGCCTTTGTAGTATAATTTGAAGTCAGGGCACATGATACCTCCATTCCTTTTTTTCAGGATGTCTTTGCATGTTTGGGGTCTTTTGTGGCTCC